TAGCTCGGTGGACCATTTGCCTTTTCATGTGAGGCAGCTGGCCTCCACCAGCAAGGGCAAAGGACCAGTGTGACAGCCTTTTACAGCTGCACTTGTGGCTCCTAACCTCTTATCCAGTGTCCAGGTAAAATGAGGTTGCACAAACGAATTGAAGGATGATGAATTCAGGGGATTTTATTTCCGATGAAAGTGGTTCTCTGCAGGAAGGGGAGCTGAAAAGGGGATGGGACAGGTAGGTAATCTTCCCTTGAAGTCTAGCTGTCTCTGGCCAGACTGTTCTCTGAAGTTATACAATCAGTCCATTCCTCTGAAGTCAAGCTGCTTCTCTCTGACATCTAGCTATCGTCTCATCTACCGGCTGAATCTGGGGTTTTTATAGGCACAGGATGGGGTGGGGCAGAGCAATGGGTGGTTTAGAAAAAGGCAACATTCAAGTGGAAAAATAGGGATGTAAGTTATTTTGGGCTGCCATTTCAGGCTTTTTGGCTTGAGGATGGATTTTGTTTGGGAACCCACCCTTTTCTGTCTAGAATTTTCTGCCCCCTATCACTGTCAGGAGGAATGGAGAAGAAGAGAGAAATCAGAGGTTTATAAAGGAATACACTGGCGTGACTTTAGTGGTGGGCATGGAGAGTCGCAATAATAGGGTGAAACTTCAGTGAGGTGTAAAATGAAAAAGTTTGTTAGTTAACCTCAGCACAACCCTTAAGTGAGTGTCTAATATAAAAGTGAATTGCGTTAAATGAATGACTATACAGCATGAGTACAACAGTGCATTTAATGCACCTGTCAGTGTTAGAGCTTTTTCAGGGAATTATATGATCAGGTTAATGAGTCATGTCTAAGATGAGAGTGGGAATAGGTATGCTTGACGACCTTCTGACAGGTTGCTATATTACAAATCTGGGGACTTGGGTTCTAGTCCCTGCTCTGATGGAAGTCTCTGGACTAAAATCTGGTCATCTATAAAATGAAGAGCTGACATATCCATGTGTGTGTCTATGTATACATATCCCTCCACCACCAGCATTCTTGTCTATATTGATATTCCGCTGTCTGCAATGTTATTGTTTATTTCATGGCTGCTGCTTTTCACTGGTCTAAATGCATCAAGGTTAAGTATCCTATTGTTTTGTATTTATCTCTGGAGTTTTACAGTGTTTGGCATAATGTGGGTATTTAATAAAGGGTCACTGAATAAGGGAATTAATGTGCCCCTCTTGACCTGAAAAGATGAGGATGATAGTTCTTCCCTCATCTGAGGTAGTGTGAAATAACAGGAGATAGCATGTAGAGTGCCTGACTCAAGGCCTTGTTCATAATGAGTGCTTTCTGACCACACACCCTGAATTTATGTTTTTATTATGTTTGTCCTGAAAAATGGGATGTACACAGTCCAGGAATCTTTGGAATAGGATTAAATGTGGGGCGCTGGAGGCTTCCTCATTTTAAGAAGCCCCAGTTAACTCCTAAAGAGCGTGCAACTCTAGTTATGTGTTCTCTTTCTGTGGAAGTTACCCCTGTTGACTGTGAAGCTTAGGCTATCCATAATTTCCTCAGGCCTTTGCAAACTGGTTTCTATTTTGTCTTTTGCTGTAATGGTTAATTTTAGAATTATCAGCAACCCCCCTACTTGATTAAGTCCAGTTTTATCTTAATTCTCAACCTTAAAACTCATGAGTTAGAACCTTATGCTTGATCCCTCCCCTCCAGAATGCTCATTCTCTTCATAAGTTCTGTGTCTGTGCTACCTTGATTCTTCCCTTTCAGCTATTCCTTTTGCTTTTTCAAGTTAACTAAGTAACCGTGTTTCTTTTAAAAATAATAGCTTTATTGAAAGGTAATCCACAAACCATAACATTCACGCTTTTAATTTGTTCATTCTGTGTATTTTAGTATATTCACAGAGTTGTGCAATGATCACCACTATCTAATTCCAGAACAGTTCCATCACTCCAAGAAGAGACTCTCATAAACAAACTATGGTACATCCCTCCAGTGGAATACTATTTAGCAGCAAAAAGAAACGAGTTGCTAGGTGCACCTTTAGTTCCAGCTACTTGGGAGGCTAAGGCAGGAGGATAGTTTGAGCCCAAGAGTCTGAGACCAGCCTGGGCAACATAGTGAGATCCTGTTTCTTAGGAAACAAGAAAAAGAAAAAGAAAAAAGCTATCAAGCCCTGAAAAGTCATGGAAGAGCCTTTAATGTATATTGCTAAGTGAAAGGAGCCATTTTGGAAAAGGCAAAATTATAGAGATAGTAAAAAGATCAGTGATTGCCAGGGTTTCAGAGGAGGGAGGAATAGATGGAGCACAGGGGATTTTAGAGCAATGAAACTATTCTGTATGATACTGCTTATCAAAATTCATAGAACATACAACACCAAGAGAGAACCCTAATGTAAACGATGGATGTCAGTTACTACTGATAAATCAGTATTAGTTCACCAGTTGTAACAAATGTACCACCCTAATGAAAGATGTTAATAATAGGAGGCACTGTGAGAGTGGAGGGGGGAATAGTATGGGAACTCTGTACTTTTCTGCTTAATCTTCCTGTAAACCTAAACAGCTGTTAAAAGGTAAAGTCTATTAATTTAAAAAAGAAAAAAAGAAACTGAGACCATTAACAGGCGCTTCCCGTTTTTTTCTTCCCCTTCTCAGCCCTAAGCAACCATTAATTTACTTTAAGTCTCTATAGATTTGGAATAATACAGTATTTGGCCTTTTGTATTTGTCCTCTTTCACTTAGCATAATGTTTTCAAGGCTATCAGTGTTGTACCCTGTGTCAGTACTTCATTCCATTTTATGGCTGAATAGTGTTCCATTATGTGGATATACTGCATTTTGTTATCTATTCATCAGTTGATGGATAGATCATCTTGCGTTGTTTCTGCTTTTTAGGTATCACGAATAACAGTGCTGTGAACGCTGATATACAAGTTCTAGTGTGGACACACGTTTTCATTTCTTTTTGGAATATACCTACGGTTGGAATTGCTGGGTTACAAACTTTATGTTTAACGTTTTGAGGAACTGCCAAAATGTTTTCCAAAGTGGCTGTATTATGTTACGTTCCCTCCAACGACGTATGAGGATTTTGATTCCTCCACATCTGCACCAGTACTTGTTATTAACAAGTCTTTTTTATTATATAAGCATCCTTGTGGGTGTAAAGTGATATATTTTGTGGTTTTGATTCACATTTCCCTAATGACTGATGATACTGAGTATTTTTTCATTTGCTTATTGATGATTGTATGTCTTCTTTGGAGAAATGTCTATTCAAATCCTTGTCCCCTTTTTAAGTTGGGTTGTCTTTTTATTATTGAGTTGTAAGAGTTCATTATGTATTCTAGATAAAAGTCCCTTATCATATTTATGATTTACAACTATTTTCTCCCATTCTGTGGGTTGTCTTTTTATCTTGATTATTCTTGAAATACAATTTGGTAGTTTGTACTTAGCATATCTGAGAAACCACTGCCTAATCCAAGGTCACAAGGAGTAAATCCTGTTTTCTTCTAAGGTTTTATAGTTTTCTCTTTTACATGTAGGCCTTTGTTCTATTTTTTAAAATTTGAGATGGAGTCTTACCCTGTCATCTAGGCTGGAGTGCAGTGGCGTGAACATGGCTTTACTGAAGTCTTGACCTCCTGGGCTCAAAAGATCCTCCCACCTCAGCCTCCCAAAGTGCTGGGATTACAGATGTGAATCACTGTACCCAGCTTGTTCAATTTTTAATTTTTGTATATGGTGCAAGGTAGGGATCCAACTTAATTATTTTGTAAGTGGCCATCCACCTATCCCAGCACCCTTTATTGAAAACACTATTCTTTCCCCATTGAATCACTTTGGCACCTTGTTGAAAATCAATTGACCGTAAATGTAAGGATTTATTTCTGAATTCTCTATGCTTTTCCATTGATTTGTATGTCTGTCCTTTTGCCAGTATTATACTGTCTTGATTACTGTAGCTTTCTAATAAATTTTGAAATCAGAAAGTGAGGCCTCCAGTTTACCTGTTTTTCGGGATACTTTTGGTTGTTCTGGGTCCCTCATATTTCCATATGAATTTTAGGATTAGCCTGCCAATTTCTGCAAAAATGAAGCTGAGATAAATAGGAATTTTGTTGAAACTATAGATCAATTTGAGGAATATTGCTTTCTTTATAGTATTAAGTCTTCCAGCCCACTACCATGTACTGCCTTTCCATTTGTCAGATCTTAATTTCTTTCAGTGATGTTTTATGGTTTTTAGTGCACAGATTTTACGCTCCTTATGCTAAATTTATTCCTAAGTATTGTATCCTTTTTTAGGCTACTGTAAGTGGAGTCATTTTCTTAATTTCATTTTCAGATTGTTCATTGATAGTGTGTAGAAACACAACCGATTTTTGTGTATTGATCTTGTATTCTGCAGCCTTGCTTTACTCATTTATTAGCTCTAATAGGTTTTTTGATGGGGCAGGGAGCGGCAAGAATTCTTTTGGATTGGATTTTCTATGTATAAAATCATGTCACCTTCAAATAGCAATAGCTTTACTTTTTCTTTTTGAAGACCCAGAAGACATCTGATGGGATTATGCTTTCTCAGTTCCATAGGCTGCACGTATGTTTTGTTTGTAAATGTTCTCTTTGCTAATATGCAGCCATAGTCACTTTGCTGTACACAGAACAAAGGGAAAAATTATTTCTTCTCTTGCTTGCTGAAGGTGGTTGGAGGCAAAGTAAAGAAGCCTGGTAAACGTGGTCGGAAGCCAGCCAAAATTGACTTGAAAGCAAAACTTGAGAGAAGCCGGCAGAGTGCAAGAGAATGCCGAGCCCGAAAAAAGCTGAGATATCAGTATTTGGAGGAGTTGGTATCCAGTCGAGAGAGAGCTATATGTGCCCTCAGAGAGGAACTGGAAATGGTAAGAAAGCGTCAATAAACACATGAAAAAAATCACCTTAACGGTCAAATAAATAATACATTAAAATATGAAGATACCAGTTATCACCTGTCTAGTTGGCAGACATTGGAGAGAATATTAATCTGTGAGCCAGGATGGAGGCAGGGAGACATCTTCATACACTGCTGGTGGGTGCAGAGTGTACGTGACTGTTAAACTGGGAGACTGTTGATGAGGAAAGAAAATGGAAAATAACCCAGATGGACAACAATAAAAGACTGGTTAAATAAATTTTACTACATTTGTATATTGGACTAGTTTGTAGCCAGTAAAAATCACAATGCACATATGTTTACTGACGTAGAAAGATACAATATATTGCTAAGTGGACAGAGCAATACTATAATATGTAACTATGCGTAGCATGCCATTTGTGTTTAAGTGAATTTATTTTACATGTTTTGTTTGTTCATCCATTCAGACTTTGGGCAGTGGCTGTAAAGATGTGAAAGAGAGTAGATAAGACATAATTGAAACTCCATTATTGTGAGCTGAGGGTGGAGGTGACGGAAGAGGAAGATAATACCGTGATCATCACACAGCTGGGACAGGCTTCCACAGGTTTTTAGGAAGTAAGACAATAAGGTTGGAACATGAAGAGAGGGACGTGAATAGTGTTGTATATGTTGTCCAGATATATACTATTCAGTAGATATTTTTGATATGTTGAATTTGACCTATGCTATAAATTATTTCTTACCTTCTGCATTGTAAGCCACTTGAGGGCAGAATCTTTGGTCCGCTTCGTCTTTGTAGACCCTCGAAGTCCCTAGTGTGTATTCTGGTAGATAGTAGATGTTCGATGATTACTTGTTAAAGAGAGAAAGGAAATTACTAACATTTATTTCTTTATTTTGGGGGTAGAAATAATACTGTGACAGTTATTAAAAAAAAAAAAAAAGATGAATTCTAACTAGTGGCACACTGTGGGGAGATGTCCTTTTAAGCACAGGGGGCTTTTAAATCTGAGCAGCACTCCAGTACATCCAAAACAGTTCAGCAGCAGTTATCTCCATCTGAAAGATGGCAGATCTCACAGGTGTCCTCAGTTACAAATAGGTAATACCATGGAGGGTGGGATTCCCAGCAGCCAACGTGATTAACCTCTAGCCATGGGAGTTCTTATATCTGGCATTTCTACCAGTGGTTCCTAAACTCTGATGAGTAAAAGTTTATTTAAAGATGTTTTACATATTTCAGTACAAGCAGTGGTGCATGGCAATGGACCAAGGAAAAATCCCTTCTGAAATAAAGGCCCTACTCACTGGAGAAGAGCACAACAAATCTCAGCAGAACTCAAGCAGGCATACCAAGGCTGGAAAGACAGATGCTAATAGCAATTCCTGTGAGTACAGTGGGATAATTTATATATAAGAAGATATCCTGGCTGGGCGCAGTGGCTTATGGCTATAATCCTAGCACTTTGGGAGGCCAAGGTGGACAGATCGCTTGAGCTCAGGAGTTCAAGACCAGCTGGGGCAGTGTGGCAAAACCCCATCTCTATAAAAAAATACAAAAATTCGCCGAGCTTGGTGGTGCATGCCTGCAATCCCAGCTATTCAGAAGGCTGAGGTGGGAGGATCACCTGAACCCGGGGAGGTTGAGGCTGCAGTGAGCCATCATCATGAGACCCTGCCTCAAAAGAGTAGGAAAAAAAGAGGGTATCTCAAAGTAGGGTTTCTGTCGATCACTTTTCTTAGTATGTCTTTTTTTTTTTTTTTTTTTTTTTGGAGGCAGAGTCTTACTCTATCGGCAGGCCCCAGGCTGGAGTACAGTGGCACAATCTCAGCTCACTGCAACCTCCACCTCCTAGGTTCAGGCAATTCTCCTGCCTCAGCCTCCTGAGTAGCTGGGACTAGAGGCGCACGCCACCACGTCCAGCTAATTTTTGTATTTTTAGTACAGGCAGTTTCACCATGTTAGTCAGGATGGTCTCGGTCTCTTGATCTAGTGATCCACCCGCCTTGGCCTCCCGAAGTGCTGGAGTATGTCTTTAAATAAAATGTGGATGCCATTTGTAACACACTAATAAGCAAGTGAAATGGCATTAGATTCTGGCTGGGTATGGTGGCTCATACTTGTAGTCCCCCGCCGAGGCGGACAGATTGCTTGAAGCCAGGAGTTTGAGACCAGCCTGGCCAACATGGTGAAACCTGTCTCTATTAAAAATACAAAAATTAGACATGGTGGTGTGTGCCTATAATCCCAGCTACTCAGGAGTCCAAGGCACAAGAATTGCTTGAACCTGGGAAGTGGAGGTTGCAGTGAGCAGAGATTGTGCCATTGCACTCCAGCCTGGGCAGCAGAATGAGATCCTGTCTCAAAAAAAAAAAAAAAGGAAAAAAAACGAAATGGTATTAGATTCCAATTAGATTCTAAATTCATTTTTGTTATTATTTTTTTTTTTTTGAGATGGAGTTCCCCTCTTGTTGCCCAGGCTGGAGTGCAATGGCACAATCTCGGCTCACTGCAACCTCCACCTCCCAGGTTCAAGCGATTCTCCTGCTTCAGCCTCCTGAGTAGCTGGGATTACAGGCATGCGCCATCACGCCCAGCTAATTTTGTATTTTCAGTAAAGATGGGTTTCTCCATGTTGGTCAGGCTGGTTTCAAACTCCCAGCGTCAGGTGATCAGCCCACCTGGGTCTCCCAAAGTGCTGGGATTACAGGTGTGAGCCACCACACCTGGCCTAAATGCATTTTAAAATGCATTTTGCATGGAGTCTGTAAAGAGCAGCTGATACATTTATCGAAATTTTATTATTAATAGACTTAGTCCATAAATGGGGGTGGCACTAATCTAGCTTTTTGTTAATAATGCTACCTTTTATTTGTATTTTGATTTACAAAGTACTTTCATTTATATTTATCTTAAATATTTCCTCCAATGATTGTGTTAAGGAATTATACATATTTTATTTTATTTTTGAGACGGAGTCTTGCTCTGACGCCCGGGCTGGAGTGCAGTGGTGTGATCTCAGCTCACTGCAACTCCCACCTCCTGGGTTCAAGCAATTTTCTTGCCTCAGCCATCCGAGTAGCTGGGACTACAGGCATGTGCCAGCATGACCAGCTAATATTTTTTTGTATTTTTAATAGAGACGAATTTCACTGTGTTAGCCAGGATGGTCTTGATCTCCTGACTTTGAGATCTGCCCACCTCAGCCTCCCAAAGTGCTGGGATTACAGGCGTCAGCCACCACACCTGGCGGAATTATACTTCTAGATGAAGAAGTAGCAGAAAGGCTGAGTAAGGTGCCCAAGATCACACAGCTTTAATGGTAGAACGTGTCCTCACCTAGTCTAGGATATCTAGTACAGTAGCCCATCACTGTAAGGATTGTTTTTAATTGAGGTAAAATTCACATAACATGAAAATTTCCAGAGCCATTTAGTATATTCACATTGTTGTGCAACCGTCACTTTTATCTAGTTACAAAACATTTAATCACCTCAAAAGAAAATCCTGAACCCATTAAGTAGTTATTCCCCATTTCCTGCTTCCCCCAACCCCTGGCAACCATGACTCTGTTTTCTGTCTCTGTAGATTTACCTATTCTGTATATTCGTATTTCATATACATGGAACTTACATAGTATGTGACCTTTTGTGTCTGGCTTCTGTCACCTAGTATAATATATTCAAGGTTCATCCACATTTTAGTGTGTGTCATTAGTACTTAATTCCTGTTTATGGTCAAATAATATTCATAGATATACAGTTGTTTATCCATTTATGGACAGATGCTTTACCTCTTGGATATTGTGAATATTACTGCTGTGAGCATGTGTGTACAAGAATTTGTTTGCACACCTGTTTTGAATTTATTAGTCTATATCCCTGGGATTCAAATTGTCAGGTCAAATGGCAATTCTGTGTTTAATTTTTGAGGAACAATCAAACTGTTTTCCACTGTGGCCAAAACAGTTTACATTCCCGCCAGCAATGTTTGTCTGTCCAATTTTTCCACATCTCACCAACACTTATTTTCCATTTTTTTTTAAACTATAGCCATTCTAGTGGGTATGGAGTGGTATCTCATTGTGTTTGCTTTGCATTTCCCTCATGTCTTACGATGTTGAGCATATTTTCATGTGCTGTTGGAGAAATGTCTCAGTTCCTTACTCATGTTTTAATTGAGTTGTTCTTGTTGTTGAGTGGTAACAGTTTCTTACTGTGGTTATAAAACCTTTATCAGTTAAATGATTTGCAGATATTTTCTCCCCTTCTTGAGGCTGTCATTTCATGTTGTTGATAGTGTTCTTTGATGCACAGAATGTTTTAATTTTGATGAAGTCCAATTTATCTATTTTTGTTCTTTTGTGACTGATGCTTTTGGTGTTATACCTAAGACGCCATTGCCAAATCCACAGTTATGAAGATTTACCCACCTCATGTTTTCTAAGAATTTTGTGGTTTTTACTCTTTTATTTGGGTGGTTGATCCATTTTGAACTAATTTTTCTATATGGTGTAAGGTAGGATGTTGCATGTGAGTATCTAGCTGTCCCAGCAACGTTTGTTGAAGAAACTGGAAAGGCTTTGAAATGAATATATCCTATGTTTATTTCTCCATTATTGTGATTACTCTGGGAGTACTTTAAATAATTATAAGGAAACATTACAAACTTTTTTTTAATTAACTTTTTTTAAGGCCAGCCTCTGGGAGCACAGAATAAACTTTTTATCTTCTAAATTTTTTTTTTTGAGACAGAGTTTCACTCTTGTTACCCAGGCTGGAGTGCAATGGCGCGACCTCGGCTCACCGCAACCTCCACCTCCTGGGTTCAGGCAATTCTCCTGCCTCGGCCTCCTAAGTAGCTGGGATTACAGGCACGTGCCACCATGCCCAGCTAATTTTTTGTATTTTTAGTAGAGACGGGGTTTTACCATGTTGACCAGGATGGTCTCGATCTCTTGACCTTGTGATCCACCCGCCTCGGCCTCCCAAAGTGCTGGGATTACAGGCTTGAGCCACTGCGCCCAGCCTATTTTAAATATTTTTTATAAAATTGAAGAAATTGGCTTTTTGATAACTTTTATTAGATGACATTTGTCTTCATCTAGGTTGACAAGTACACTAAAATCTTAGACTCTTATGACTGTAGAATTCACCCATGTAACCAAAAACCACTTCTACCCTAAAAGCTACTGAAATGTTTAAAAATTAGAAAAACAAAACATTTGCCTTCATCTAAATTGAAGTAATGGAAAAAGCCAAATCAGCTTCTTTTTAGTCTGTATTTTTAAAAAATTAGCCTTCCTGAAGATACTAAACTGAAAAAAAAAAATTCATGCATCTGAAAACAGATTAATCAAACTTCATTTACTTTAAAAACATTCTCACATTGGTAACTTTTATTTTTCAGGGTGAAGATTATGTAAAATGATAAGTCAGTGATTGAAGCCAATTTTCTGATTCCCATGGAAGATGAATGGACAAGAGTGTACTTCTTGGCTCCATTTACTACCTACTGCTCAGTAGTCATCTCTGTAAATCTGCAGTTTCTACCAAAACGTGTGATCATAGATCTCAAAGGATCTTGCTTTAACTTTCAACAGTTAGAAAATCTACAGACATTCAGACCTGTCTGGGTTGGTATTGCTACCCATGACATTTAACATGTTGTGATGCTTGAAAACACAGGAGTAGAGAAAATGGATGAAGATTGTTATTTTTGCACCTTAACTCCACATTGCTTTATCGGTTAATTTATATTCTTTCCATGTAATTCATGTAACTGTATGTCTGTGTGTGTTTACGTGTCACCGCCTTTCATGTTTTTGATCGTCCTACAGAGAGAAACCAGA